CATTTATCAAAGCCTTCCGAGCTTTCTGTCCACTATTGATCAGTCAAGTGGCCACAGACAACATGACCACTTTGTATAAACAAGCAGGGATTGTTTATTCATTCTTTGTCCCTTCTATACCTGTTGATCCACCTCTGGGAGTGGTGTTACGGCCATCACATATTCCCAATCGCTATCCATGTAGTGACAGAGGACAACGATGTGGCTGATCGACTGAGCCATCTGACTACTCAGACGCACGAATGGGCTCTCAACGACTCGGTATTCAAATGTATCTGTGACAGATGGGGCACACTGACCATCGACATCTTCACTACACAGTCCAATGCGAAGTGCCAACAATTTTGTTCACGACCGTGCAGAGGCATGGGATCCTTAGGAGATGCCTTTATAGTGCACTGGGACGCAGACCTTCTGTACCTTTTTCCACCGATTCCATTCATCCAGCAGACAATAATCAAAATTCACCAATTGAGAGCAGATGCCATCCTGGTGGTGCCATGGTGGCCTCAACAGCCATGGTTTACCACCCTCAAATCCATCGCGACCGAATACCTGAGATTGCCTCCCCAGCGTTCTCTCTTGACTCAGGACAGAGGCAATGTCTGTCACCCCGAGGTCAAGTTTCTCCATCTCACAGTGTGGAAGATTCCCCCACCATAAGGGAAGTGCTTGAGAAGGCTAGGAAACCATCAATCAAGTTATATTCATGCAAATAGTCCTTCTTTATGCTGAATTCACAGGTTTTGTTACAGTTCCTGTTTCTCTGAGGACCCTTCTTACCTTTCTACGCCATTTGTTTGATATGGATTTGACGCATTCCTCACTCAAAGTTTATGTTTCAGCCATTGTCTCATATCAACCTGTAGGTTCTGACACTTTTCATTTGTTTTCTCACCCTACTGTAAAGAAATTCCTTCGAGGTCTGCAAAATATTTGTCCTTCTGTGCAACCTCCAACTCCTCAATGGTCTCTTAAGACTGTTCTGAAGATGCTCACACGTTCTCCATTCAAGCCAATGGCTAGTACTTCTTTGAAATTACTTTCCTTAAAGACTTTGTTCTTGGTGGCTATGACGTCTGCACGAAGGGCATTGAATTAGCTGCACTACAGGCTGATGAGCCTTATACAGTGGTGCCTCGCACAGCGACGATAATCGGTGCAGCAAAAATTGCTGCAAAGCAATTTCGTCGTTATGCGATATTAAAAAGCCCATAGGAATGAATTGAAACCCCTTCAATGTGTTCCTATGGACTTCAGACTCACCTTTAAGTGAAAATCCTCCATACGGTGGCCATTTTTGCTGCCTGGTAAGCGAGGAATCTGTCCCAGAAAACAGCAGGTGGCCATTTTGGAACCACCGATCAGCTGTTAAAAATTATCACTTTGCGATGATCGGTAAGCGAAACAGGGTACCGTTCATCGCAAAGCGATTTTTCCCCATAGGGAACAAAGTTAATCGCTATGCGATTTCGTCGTTAAACGGGGTGCCCGTTAAGCGAGGCACCACTGTATAAAGTTTTACCCAGAGAAAGTTGTTCTCTATCCTGATGTTTCATTCCTCCGTAAGGTGATTTCAAATTTTCATGTTAATCAGTCTTTGATTCTCCCAACGTTGTTTCCAAACCCTTTGTCAGATGTTGAGCGCATGCGCCATTCCCTTGATGTTCGGCGGGCTTTTGCCTTTTATGTTTCAAGAACTAAGGACTTTTGTAAATCTTCCAGATTGTTCGTCTGTTTTCATGAACCTCGGAAAGGTCACCCAGCTTCTTCCCAGTCAGTTTCCAGATGGGTAGTTTCCGCCATCGCTTTAGCCTATGACCTGGTTGGCAAGACTCCACCAGAGGTGCTCAAAGCGCATTCCACCAGAGCCATGGCTATGTCCACTGCATGGCTGCGTGGCTTTGATATCTCTGACATCTGTAAATCTGTGATTTGGTCTACACCACTGACCTTTGCTACGCATTACAGACTGGATGTCAGAGGCAAGAAGGAAGCAAGTTTTGGAAGGACTGTGCTGACTTTGGTTCTGCTGTGACGGCCCTCCTTCCGGTAAGTGAGCTTGCTTGTCACCAATTCGTGTGCATTCACAGAGACCATAAAGAATAAAGAGAGGTTACTTACCTGTAACCATTGTTCTTTGAGTGGTACTCTGTGAATCCACACGTCTCGCCCAACCTCCCCACCATCCGTCACAACTTCTTTTGGCATTTAATTTTTCAGAGCCAGTACAGCCGTGGATATTCGGAACTGAGATACTGCAGGCAGGCGGAGTATGCATGATACAGGGAGACATTTCACTTGTCATTATTTAAGCTCTAGAATATTCCAAAGAATCCTGTGCAGGCACTTTAACCCATTCGTGTGGATTCACAGAGTACCACTCAAAGAACAACGGTTACGGATAAGTACCCTCTCTATTGTGAGGGTAATGACCTAGAAAGCAAAGTACTATTATTGTAATAAATTGATAGAATTAAATAAATAAATGTACTTTGTACAAGAAGAGGGCAGAAATCTACTGAAAGCTAAACAGTGTAAGGCACTTAAAAATATTACAAATTATAAGTAAGACAGGGCTGAATGGTTCTTTTAAGAACTGTAGTAAAATATAGAAATGGCTGTCCTTGGTAGATGAATTAAAGTAAATAGGCTGACAATTTTTTTCTCATAACAACAGGAGTGTTTTAGAAATAATATGAACAGCAATAGCATAATAAATTTGGAGGGGTCATACTGGAGTTATTCAAGTGAAATGTATACAACCACCTGGCAGATATCCTTTGATTTGTATTCTTGTGCTGAGCAGGGGTTTGGGCTCGATGGCCTTGTAGGCCCCTTCCAACTTCATGGTTCTATGACTCTCTGTGGTGCAGAAGGGTTCCACAGCCTGGCATGCCAAAGTGTCTAAATCCCTTTCAGAACAGAAAAGAAAAAGAGGCTTGTTTACAGCACTTCCAGTGTGCTTCCATGGGTGTCAGAGAGCAATGCAGGTAATCAAGACCCAGAAAAACATTGGGGGGGGGGAGACCTCATGCAGCCCACTGGTCGTGTTTTGTCCACCCCATTGGGTTTTGAACTTTTACTGTTCAGTGAATCTGGAAAGCTCTGTGCAGTTATTGATCGAGCACAAATGGCTAATGAATAAGGTTTAGTAAAACTTAGAAACAGAGGGAATAAATACGTAAATCAATAAAAGAAGGAAGAAAAGAAAAACAGAAAATTATATATCTTATGTCGGAGACAGGGGGTTATATTCTAGTATCTTGGACATCTGTTTTCAGTTGTATATCATAATTAAGCAGGCAAAAACGCATGTCCCAATGGACTTTTTCATTTATTTTTGAGGAAGCCATTATTACGTGAAGTCTTAGTTTTCTTACTCCTACAGCAGCAAGGATACAAATAGCACAACCCTAGAGAACAAGGAAAGAATGTGCAATAGGCGGAAAGATTTCAAAAATCTGCAGAGCAGTTTTAGCCCAAGAGTTAACACAACAAGAAGAGATTAATTGGAGGAACAATGTAAAGAGGCAGGTTAATGGAAACATTTTTTTTCTTCGTTACTTATGAAGCCGCATCAACTGCATCATTCAGTCATGTTTCAGGAAGAAAACAATAGCTGAGAAATTAAACAGAAACATTTCTGGTACAAACAAAAGATGAGACTACAATTATGTGTCTTCTTTAGAAGGTTCCCATATTTGCTAAAGCAACTGACAAACAATTCAAGAAAAACTGCATGCATTGTGCAGCATAGATGCTTTGATTACAGTCAAAAGATTGATCTACCTTAGAAAAAAATGAAATAGAAAACATTTACATTTTTAAAGGGACTTTAAGCCTTTCATACCTTATAACACTGAACAGCTTCATTTTATTCCTGGTTTGTTTTCATGTATATTATATTATTTTTACAAAATTATAGTGATAAATCACTTCCTTTGAAGCAGGTTACTTGAAACATATAGGTAGAAATCTTATTGCTTTACGTAGTATGTTGCATTAGAGTAAGCCCATTGAATCAGTGGGGACTTGATCAGTCAACTCCTCCATTAGCTCCATTGATTTAAACGAGCCTACTGTCGTTGCAGTTTACTTTATTAAGTCACAATTTAAGAAAACCAATTTCAATCCATGAAACCTAGAGAGATGTGACTCACCAAATCCCCATTAATTCAATAGGCCTACTCTAGTGCTACTTCCTGTGCTAAGGAATAGGATTTAAGCCATAATTTTCCATAGCAAAAAAGCAACGAATCAGCCAACAAAAACCAACAGGCAAAGATAATTCCCTTTATTTCCTTGCTTTACAATTTGTATTGAGCAAATTCATGTTGGCATAAATTCACACCAGTTCAACCCAGATTGGATGTCCAAAATGTTTAATTTAAACTAATGAAAAGCTTCCTACCCTTTCAAGTTCTAAGGCAATCTAGGGCCTCCTTTTGCCTCAACCCAGCAGCAACTTATGACCCTTAAAAGGTTCCCTCACCCCATTCTGGGGCTCCCGAAGTCTTCCAAGGGGCAAAAGGGAGCTCCAAGAGTTTGCCCTGTGTTTGCTCTTAACACTAAAAGGGCCAAAGCATTAGCAGTTCTGCACAAGCCTGCAACACTGAACAGCTTCTAACATGGTATAGTATATCTGTTTGCAATTCACAATTCCTTTCCCGGCTTTTTTGCCTCTTCCACAGAAAGACAGATTACAGCTACCATGAACTGCTCTGCAAAACACCTTTACCTGTTGTTGTCTCTCCCCCCCCCCCGACTAGCAGCTCCAGATGCCGAAACATACAAGCCTGCAGCGTGCAAGAAACAAATCCAGGTCTCTTAGCTGTGCTCTCCTGCTGCTCCTGTTTCTGTCATTTTGCTAGTAGGTGGTCTGGAAAATCAAACAAATCCATAATATTTACTTTCTGGAATAATTTTTTTCCAACACTCATGGGGAGACTTTTCCTTCTAGCATTAGGAATTCATTTGTGATATTGCAGATGTTATTCTTCCAGCGTCACTTGCCTTAAGAGGAAATGCAGATCCAAGTGTAGTGTCAGTAGAGCAGCCAGTGGTTGCCAGACCTACAGCAAAGGAAGTGCCTATGGTGTAACGGGTGATTTGAAAGTCAACAAAACAGGCAGCAACACAATGCTGCAGGTGGAAATTGGGGGAAAAGGACAACAAATTGATGAGGACAATGAAGGCTAAAGCCAACCAAGACAAGGCATGAATCTAGCACATAGAATCTCTCAAACACAATGTAAGTCTTCCTCATATGCATTAAAATTTTTGTACTGTTTAATAATAATTTTGTTTCTTTGATGGACTACAATAACAACTATAGCTAATTATTTTGACACATATGCAACATTACTTGAATTTACTTTAGAACCTGATGTTAAAATATGATAGAGACCCAATAGCAGTAATATTGAAAACTCAATTTAAGTAGAAGCAAGTCTAATTACTGTGATTAGAACTTTTAAACCAGCTTTAAACATGTATTAAAAGTCTGTATTGAGAGAGAGAGAATGATATGTTTTAAGATAAGTTGTTTTTGTACTGTTTTACATATAACCCTTTAAAACTGACAAATATAAATATTAAAATCAAGATAATTAAGGCTGAAAAAAAAACAGAGAGGAAGGATAGATTTCATGTGCACTTTCTGAAGCTTAAAGTTTATATTTGACACAATGCAATGGATTAGAGTCCAGTCTTCCAGATAGATTCTTAGTGTAGGCTAAAACTGGGTGCACACATGATAATGGAAATACTGTTTCTGGTATTCTGAACAATTTTGTCACTTTTATTTGAATTGTGTTAAGAATTAACAGTCAGCCAACCTCCTCCAAATTTTCTTTCTGGCTTTGTACTAAAATGAGGACTAGAGAAATATGTGGTAATTAAATGGATATAATTTGCACATTCATGGTGTATTCTCACTGTTTTCAGAAACCTTAGATATGGATGTGCTTTATGAAGAGAACTCTGTGAATTCAACAGCCAGTACCTCACTACAACTGAACCAATACCAAGAACTCTACAGAAATGCATTTGTTTCTGGAGAACTGAATGGATCGCATGTGGATAATCTGAGTTCGTATTTCCAAGATACAATGAATTGCTCTTGTATAGGAGAATCAGATGCTCCTCACAACATATCATTAATTCTTCTTCTTGAGAGAAACTGGACTGCCCTACTAACAATTATTGTGATTGTTTTAACCATTGCTGGAAATATTCTTGTCATCATGGCTGTATCGTTAGAGAAAAAGCTACAGAATGCTACAAACTATTTCCTGATGTCACTCGCAATAACTGACATGCTCTTGGGTTTTCTTGTCATGCCCATATCCATGCTAACCATACTATACGGTGAGTATCAGCAGCAGTCTTTTAGAAATTCCATAGGCTGAACAGGAATATAAATACAGGCTTGAAATAGAAGTCGCCTATGACTCATGAAAGGTGAGAACTGTGAACAGCACTACATGCAGAGACTGGAGATCTAGTCCAGTGGTTCTTAACCTTTGTTACTCAGGTTTTTTTGAACTCCAACTCCCAGAAACCCCAGCCAGCAGAGCTGATGGTGAAGGCTTCTGGGAGCTGCAGTCCAAAAACATCCGAGTAACAAAGGTTAAGAACCAGTGAGGATCGAGCATGGTTGTTCTGTCAATCAAGCAGCTTCTGTCAGTGTATACAGCAGGAAGGTAATTTCCTTCCCCCATCAACATTCCAAATCCACCTTCATAATTATCAGCTGCTAGTGCAATGTTAGAGTTATGCCTCATCTTTGAGGAAAACAGTAATTTATATTGGTTCTTGTGGGTTTTTCGGGCTTCTTGGCCGTGTTCTGAAAGTGGTTCTTCCTAACGTTTCGCCAGTCTCTGTGGCCGGCATCTTCAGAGGACAGCAAACTGTGCTCTGGGTAGGCTTGAGAGTGGGTGGAGTATTTGTGGCTGTGAGAAGGCTAGTTTGTGAGGTAGGCTATTGTCCTAATCAGGAGATGGTTGATTAATGTGTTTTGTTGTGGATGTATTATTTTGATAAGGAGGGGAGATTATCTCTCCCTGTGGTTGATGGGTGTCATTAGCTGGTCTTTTGTGTGCAGTAATCCCCTGACTACTAGGCCTACACATCACTATCAGCCAAAAAATGAGAAGTCAAGACTGGGACAAGATTGATACCCTCTCTTACAATAAGATGGAAAAAGAAATGATGAACCACACAGACAGACAAAAAACGGAAATTCAACAAATGCCAAACAAGCCAACAGAAACCTACACTAGATACCACGCGCATCATCATCAACCTATCGGGACGCCAACTCTCCCCAGAAGAAACCTCAGTCTTAAGCGAAGGAGGAAATTTTGCAATAACATCCAGCAAAATTCCTGTGGAAGATATAATTGCCAACGTGGAATCAGCATTATATCATCTTCCAGAAG